GTAATAGATCTCCTCTCCCAACATCTCCCTCTTCTCTCAAAACCTTCCCTGTATCTAGAAAATAATCACAAAAGATCTCAATGTTCTTATTTCACACTTATTTATTTTATGAAACTGTGGGTGCCAGGCAATTGGAGATGGGAGGGCAGGGAGAGGGACTAACAACTCCTCAAGGTTTTTGGAGGTTTTTTCCCACCTCAGGAGTAAAGTGCACAGAAGCGCTGGGCTACTGTAGGTCTCTGGGGAAAACAAGGACTGAAGGAACTAGCAGGGGCTTATTCAGTCAGCTAACAGACCAGGAAGGAAGGAGGGTGAAATGACCGTATACTTGGCACTGCAGTGGAATGGAAATTATGCCTCTGTTCCCCCATGTCTAGAATACCCTACTTTTCCTCTCCAGCTCTCAATCCTTTTTTCCTTTTTTTTTTTTTCTAAGATCACAGTCAGTGGATGGAAGGTCTTGCGGATGCAGTGGCAATGTGAGCATCTCAGCACTGGCAGAGCTCTGGCTGCATCAGCATAGCTCCATCAGGCTCGTAGTTAGTAATGTCAACGTCTCGTCCACTTCCGTTCTGAAGCCCACCCATCTTTAATCTGTCTCCAATGACCCATCTCCCATTCCCAAATGTAGAGCACTTACCATCCATAGCACTTGTATGCCCATGAACTCCACCCAGATGGCCTGCACGCAGCACTCCACATGCACCTGGGGCCTCATCTTACCATCACTTACTTCACCCCTTAATTATGTTGCACTCAGTTCCTGTCAATTTCTCTCCAGAGGCATGTCCCTTCCAGTGTGGGTCAGGGCCTTCAGGAAGCTCTCTTCTGGTCCCTTCTCCTGCCCTATCCTTTTCTCCTAATTAATATCTACTCACACTTATGACCTCAGCTCAAATGCCTTTCCCTAAAGGAAGCTTTTCAAGACCACACATCCACATTCACCCTCAGGCTAAGCCAGGTTACCCTCCAACTCCTCAGTCAGAGCACCGACCACATTGAACTACATCCGCACACTGTTATTTCACTGCGGTTCGTCTCTCCCACTACACTGCCACACAGTCAGAAAGCTCAGCGCAACCCAATAAGCAGGATCAGTAACAGGTTTTCACCATCATTATCTGTCCAGCACCTCATGTGGTGCCTGGCACCCAGTAACTGTTTCATAAACATTTGTTAAATAAAGGAGAGAAAAAATGAATTGCAAATTAGTGAACTCAGTGGTCAAGAGATCCATTTTTGCTGAATAAATTCACTTTGAGGTAGAGGCAGAGTGAAAGCATTAAATGATGATGCATTTTACCCTAGATATATATACAACCAGATATTAACAGATCCACACATAAAAGAAAAAACGTAACTACTGGGTCATAAGTTTGTAGGAAACACATGTGTTTTCCATATGTATTTTTTAATAATAAAAAAATTATACATATATATTTTATTAGTTATAAGTTTGTAGGGACAACATAACCATGCTGTCCACATGTAATTTTGAGAAAATAATAGATATGTATGGCATCTATCTTCTGCAGTTGCACATTTTCATCCATTGAAACAGGTATCCGCAGACACCATGTGCTTCACTTCACAACTTGACCAGGTTTAAAACCAATAAGAACACTTTAGTTGAAGTAAATAACTGATGAATTCCTGTGCTAACTCCAACCCCAAGACCCTTTCGTTTCTCTTTCTTAGTAGGCAGGAAACACTAACGTTCTGGGAACAAGATGTGTGTCCCATATTGGAAATGTTCAGATCTGCAGATAATAGTCAGTCTACCTCAGCTAAATGCATGAGGAAGCCACATGGTAACAATTCGAATGGAACACAGAACATATTTACTAAACTGAAGCAACATTCCACATGTTATCACTTTCAGCTCTGCACATGTGGAAACAGGCTCCGTGCACCACTTGGCCGTGTCAGAGCATCTGAGAGAGGAAGATGTGCATGGGATTTATTATGGGGGCCCACCCCAGTGAAGAGTCCCGTGGAGTGCATCACAGCTATACCTTATGAATTAGAGTTTTAAAGAAAGTACTTTCTGGATTGCATTCATCTTTCAGGTGCTAGAACTACTTCTAGTGTTTGTTTAAATACCTGAACCCAAGAGGGACTAGTAAATGAGCAGTAATTTTAGACTAAAGGCTGGCACTCTAGTGGCAACTAAGAATTCAGCTGCTAACTGAAAGGTTGCTGGTTCAAACCCACTCAGCAGTTCTGAAGGAGAAAGACCTGGCAGTCTGCATCCAGAGATCACAGCCTAAAAATTTCTATGGCCACATATGGGGTCACTATGAGAGGAACCAATTCAGGGATGAGGACTGCGCAGAACTGCCAGTGTTTCACTATACTGTAAACAAAGTCCTTATGAGTTGGAACTAACTCAACAACAGAGAAATGGCTTCTTTATTTTATTATATTTTATTTTGAGCACTGTGTCACTTGCATCAAACGCAGAATACCAGATAAAAGATTTTGTTTGTTTTGTTGCTTTTTGGTCAGACTCATGTTATTTTATTCACTTCATCCAGATGATAAGCCTCAAGTTCAGCTGAGGCCTCTGAGTTGGTAATTTATACTAAAAGGGAGACAGGAAGTTAAGAAAATCAAATAAACCAGAAAAATAATACCCGTGTGCTTAAGCTGCAAAATCAGTTTACTTAAGAAAAGTAAAGCTTAGGCCTTCCAAAACAAGGGTTCTGTTGGGAGACACTGGCAAGGAGAAGCTCCTATATTACTATAAGAACATAGGTCTGGGCTCCAAGACACCGAAGACCATTGAGGGAACCTGCATGGACATCTCGTGTCCCTCCCAGGATGGATTCTGTCTGACGTGGTGACCAAGATGAAGATGCAGGGGACCACTGTCATCGCCCAAGACCCCTCTACCACATCCACCAAGTACAATGGATTTGAGAAGCACCACAAAAACATGTCTGTGCACCTGTCCCCCTGCTTCAGAGATGTCTGGATCAGCGATATCATCACTGTGGATGAGTGCCAGCCCCTGAGCAAGACTGTGCCCTTCAATGTGCTCCAGGTCACCCAGGCTGCAGGCACAAAAAAGCAGTTTCAGAAGTTCTGAGCAGCCCACCTTCCAATGAAATAAAGTTATTTTTGTCCCACTCAAAAAAAGAAATGCTCAACGATTTGGGGAACTTAGCAATTCAGGTAAAAAAGAATAAACTTAAACAGCATCGCATAGTCTCTATTTTGGACAAAAACCTTAAAATTCAATGGATGTTAAATTGAATGTATGAATTACTAAATTCCTGTTTTATCAGTTATCAAATATTTCATGCATTCCTCACAACAGGTAAAGAAAGCAATGTGTCAAAAACTAAGATAGTTCTCTTCACAGCCAGAACCTATGCCTACCCCAAGCTAATAATTAACAGAAACAAAACCAAAAAAAAAACCTCTCCAGAGAAGCGTTATCTGACCCTTCTTTAAAGTAAACAGACCCGGAATAGAGGTGTCGGAAGTGATCACCTGAGTTACTAGTTCTAAAACTAAAATAGTCATGAGTCTATATATACTAATAATCGAAACTACATAAACTAAATCCACGCCATCAAGTCCATTCTAACTCACAGCCACCCTAGATACGGTTTCTGACATTCTCCTCTTTACAGGAGCAGACAACTTGGTCACTCTCCACCGAGTAGCTGGTAGGTTTGAACTGCTGAGCTTGCCATTAAACAGCCGAACCCACAAGGCCACCAATCAACGTAACAATAAACTCCAGAAAATGAAATCCACTCACTCATTGCCATAGAGTGGTTCTGACTCATCGTCAGCCCACAGGACAGAACAGCAGAACCGGCCCTGTGGATGTCCAAGAGTGTATATCTCGATGGGAGCACAAATTCTAATCAAGGCTAATTTAAGAAACCACTGTAAGTAGGTCAATTCATTTATTTCACAACATAGAAGCTGGAAAGAAAGTCCCCCTCATCCAAAGCTCTATTTTTACAAGAAAATTAAACATGGATCAAAAGAAAGCCCATAGTCTAGTAATCCAAGGTTTTCTAGTGATTGACGTGCTTTACACACCTGACATCTCGAACTGTAAACATACCATTTGTAAAGGGGGGACTTGAAGGTCAGGTAAAGAAATGTCGCAAGGAGCCCACTCTGTTGCAGCTGTCTGATATCCACTCTGTGGATTTGAATAGCCTAGTGCCATCCCATTGTGGTTCTGGCATCCCACTGCTAAATATTTACTTATTCTCATCTACTTTACTTGTTCTTTAAATTGGATTTTACCAATTTGGCTACTTATCAAAATGCCTTTTTCCAACAAAAATTGAGTGTTTTAATTATTTGACTCTTTTCATCTTCTTTACAAAAATGAAACTTAGGCTTATTCAGAAAATCAATACTTACCTTTTGGAGATTTACATTACAGTAGCGATCTAAATGCTAGTTTCACCTAAAAATTCTTTCAACCCAAACCCAAGACCCAAGAAAAGTGATTTTGATAGAAATGTTCCATTTCACTCCCTGTAAAAACCCAACAGAAGGCTGGATCCTCTGCTGCTTAGTGCAGTTCTGAAGGCTGTTCTGTTGCTATAGCAACAGAACTCTGCTACCTGTGGCCACTGTTTGTTAAGAAATCCTCTAAGCAGTAAATTCTGTGCTATGCATTCATAAAAACATTCATAAAACCTCTACACAACAAAAAAATTAAGGGCTGATTTCCTACGTAAGATTTGTGCCTATAAACATATTTAAAATTAATAACTACTGTCTGGAAAGCATTCTGAAAACAGAAAAGCTTTTCTAGTTATTTATTTATATTCCATCACACCTCCTACCAGTGCCCCACCCTTCAAAAAAAAAAAGACCTTGAGGCATAATTTACTATCTGTTCCAGTACATGTGGTTTCTTTAGCAATGAGCTGACTTAGGAATCACCCAACTAAAGAGTCAAGAGAAAAATGTAGTCATCGCCACTTTCATCCATCCAAGGGCCCCTGCAGACTACTCACCCTCACTGGGGGACTCCAGGCTTGCACTCTGGGCTGCTGTCCACCTTGAGAGTTCTGCAGATCTTTTGAGCCACAATTCGCCACAGTGCTGCTCGGAACCCTTAGCGCACTTGGGCAGTTCACTGCACTGCCCCCACCAGGGCCAGGTTTCCAAGGCCTCTGTTTGATCCCATCCAGAAGTCTGACCAGGAGGATGTTACTCGGAAGCTCCTCAACACCGGAGCCGACCAGAGTCCTGCACTCGGGGCATCTGAGTTCATTTCGGGAACCAACGATCCCCAACAAGCATCGTTTGCAAAACGTGTGCTGGCAAGGCAAGACTTTGGCAGACGCGTCAAGCCGCTCTAGACACACAGGACACTCCAGAAGATCCAACAAGGCAGATTCATCCATCTTTATCTAGTTTACTAAGGAAAATGCTTCAGAAATGTTCATCGTATGGATCCCTTAAAATGACTCATGTAACATCCATTTCAGTTTATGCTGGAATCAAAG